GAAGTCCACAAGTCTTAAAGTTGCCAAGGTTGGACACCCCTGGCTTACACCAAGAAGAATCACAGTGGGGTATAGCCAGGAAATAAAAACCTATTTGATGTTTTATTATTTAATCATTTGAGCATATATGGCAGCAGAGGACAATTTTATGAAGTGCTGGACAGCGGTGGCGGTGTGGGGGGGAATTGTCATGGCCAAACCCACCTTCCCAATAACGGAGGCTGTCAATGCAGCCTACTTCTTAACAGAAAGTTCACCCCATCAGAAATTCTAGAATGTATGAGTATGGCAGTCAGAGAAACAGTTGCAAGTTTGTAGAGTTGGAGATAGAGGAAGTTGGAGATGGAGAAAAGATTAGAAGCCCTTGGAGTGACTCAACTGAAAGAAAAAGCAAGCAAGAGTTTCCCACTCATCAAAGCCAATTAAAATGTCTGCAGCAGAAGCAAGCAACCGCAGCTATCTGAGACAGACTTAGAAAGGACATCAAGGGAATTAAAATAAAGCCCTGGTCCCAAATGAATCTCAAAGTAGGAGGCAAGTAAACAAACTGTCAGGTCATGCATTGCTTCAAACCCTTGAAAATCCTGAACTAAACCCCAAAGTCCTGGTAGGCTACTTGCAGGGAAATGTGGAAGAAGACCAAAAAAGGGGCCACGTTCAGCAGACCACTAGTTCCCAAGATGCCCTAACCCAACTTTCCATAGACTAAACTAAAACAGACTGGGGAGGAACAGGAATACAGGAGGGAAAGCACCCTAATAAAAGTCCCTGTCCATAAATTGGCTCCTTCTGCTTTTATGTGTCTATCTGAAAAAGCTATGCAAAAGGAATTTGAAGCACATGTACAGCATTACCATGAGATCCATTTCCATCTATCTGCTGTTAAATACTCCTATTTCATTCCAAACTCCTCCCCCACCCCCCAGACCTTCCCAAACCCGTCTAAGCCAATACCAGCAGGGAAGTGAGTGACCCATCTTCTGTACTGACTTGAGGAGGAAAATTCAAAAGATTTTGAAGGCAAAGCAACACTGCAATGACAACTTGCTGGAATAGGACAAAACACTTGGAACAGTTTGGATCAAAAACGAATGCATCTGTTCCATTTCCTGCCCCCTCCATTCAGTGTGTCCACTTTTCAGAAACTGCCTAGACAAGTCCCTGAAGTTTTGCTGGCAAGCTTTTCAGAAGTGGTTTGCCATTGCCTGCTTCCTAGGATTGACCCAAGTGACTAACCCAAGGTGACCCAGCCCACTTTGTGCCCAAAGCAGGATTTGCAGTATCCCTGTTTCTAGCTTGGTTACTTTAACCACTACACCAAACTGTCTCTCATTGGTGCCTTCTTCAAAACAAAACAAAACAAAACCAAAATAGTGAAAACACAGGTGTTCTATTTTGTCCAAGAGTAGATTGCAGTATTAGATTTATTTCAGAACTGTTTGGTGATGTAAATCTAAAGACTCTGTAAATTTAGATAAATTTATGCTGAGAGCTCATGTATTTCATATAATGGGACCTATTCAATGACTGCTGTTAGACTTCTTTCCTGATTATATTGAGAGGGCTATTAAGAAGCCTTCATCCAGAAATGAGAGCCAAGGTGTTATGTTAAGGAACTTTCCCTTTCATATCTACTATAGGATAGTCTTCCCAGTCACAGTCTGTCCCCATTATTACAACTTTTGCTAAACATGCCTTAGATAGAGAGATTTTCATTCCTGCACCATTCACTCTTCTCGGCCTTCCTTAACAGGGTCAAAACATGGTGATGATTCTCAAGGAGGACACAATGAACTTGGTGGATCCTTTGGACCACAGCCTCATCCACTGCCAGCCCATCATCAATATTCGTGTTTGGGGGGTGGGCTGCAACAAAGGCAGGTGAGTAATAATGGGTGGTTTGGAGAAAGGAGACCTTCTTACTGAAACAAAACTCCAAGGGCAACATTTCAGTCCACATGTTGTAACTAGTGAGTTATTAAGCTACAGATTCTGTTGGGTGCAAAATATCTAGGATTACCCACCACTTTCTCATGGGATCTTCTGCTGCTTCTTATCATGTGGGATCACCATTTATTCCAAAGCTATTAACAGAGTAGCTGCTTCAGATACTCTCCATTAACCGTTCTTTTTTCCCCCTACATGCTATGCTTGGTCAAGGGACAGGTAAGTTCCCCATTTCCTCCTGAAGCAAAGCTAGCGCTTGGAGCCCCTGCTCTTGCTCATTGGGCTCTCCTCTCCTTGCAGGGATTTTGCTTTCGTGGCCAGTGACAAGGACACGTGTGTGCTGAAGTGCCATGTCTTCCACTGCAATGTGCCTGGCAAGGCTATTGCCAAAGCTCTGCATGAAATGTGCTCCAAGGTATCCCTCCTGTCTTGTAGCACAGTTCTTTACATTTATACATAAACGCACACACACACACATCACGTGCATGTGCACCCAGACACACATATGCTACATATGGAAAGGTTGTGGGTCTGAGAATATACTTTTAAGTGCAACGTCAAGAGTTTTCAGTACTGAAACTAAGTAATAGATGTAACTGATGTTTCATTCTGCAGGAATGGGAGACAAAATGAATATTAAAATAATCTTGGTCCCTTTGTATACTTTCCAAATCAATGGAAAATTATTTTAAAAAAGCAAAGACTTTGCAAGTCTATCTCTGCATGATAATTCTCTGAAAATTGAAAGAAGAAATTGGGAGGGCAAAAACAAAAAAATACGGGAAAATTTTCCCCAAAGTTCCCTTTGATGTGTTTTCATTAGCCAACTGCCATGTTTCCCCCCAAAATAAGCATTAGGGCTTATTTTGAGTACATGGGAGGTCCACTTCATCTGCTTGCTTGCAGTGGGGCAGGAGGCTGTGTCGCACCCTAGTGCCACTGCTGCAAGGCAGGGAGGGTAGAGTTGCCCCATGGCTTACCTTAGGGCACCCGCAGCCAGGCCACCCATGCTCCAACACTTGCCTCAGTCCTGTTCAGCAGGATCTCACGTGGCTGCCAGCCCACTTCTGCTTGTTTGCATGGCCACAATGGAGCAGGAAACTGAGTGATGTGCTGGTGCCTTGGCTGCAAAGTGAGGCAGGGAGGGTGAAGCTGCCTGACACACCCTGTACCGGTTTACCCCAGGGCCCCCGCAGCTAAGCCATCCATGCCCCAACACCTGCCTTGCCTTGTGGCTGTGGCATCAACGTGTTGCTTGGCCTCCTACTCCATTGCAGCAACACGAGCAAGCAGAAGCAGTGGGCAGGCTGCCATGCAAGGTCCTGCTGGATGGGGCTGGTGGAGCTGCTGCCACAAGGTAAAGAAGGTGTTGAGGTATGGATGGCCTGACTGCGGGGGCCTTGAGGTAAGCCAATGCGGGGCGCATGGGGCAGCTTCACCCGCCCACCTCACCTTGCCACCGCAGCACTGCAAGTAACCAGACAGAGTGGGTAGCTAGCTGGCTATGCAGGTGCTTAGGTAGGATTTATTTTGGGGGTAGGGCTTATATTGAGCACATACAAAAAACATGGTAGGTCTTATTTTGGGGAAAACACGGTAGGTAACATCACACTAATGTTACTTTCTTGGGTACTGAAACATCTGCCAGCTAATAACCAAGTTTAGAGAACCCCAAGACGCACAAATGGAAATACTCATGCAGCAAATTGCATGAAAGAGCTAACATTGTTCTATCTGAGAATACAATAGCAGAGGAGAAGGGCAAAAATACACAGGATATCCTTAGAGGTAGTGAAACTATACTGAAGGATTAGTGAAGAAAGAAAAAGCAATTTTTATAATAGCTATGTTTCTTGGGGGTTTACCTGAAATGTATGTGGATAAGAGCAAAAACTGAAGGCATAGGTAGTATTTCATTTTTTAAAACAAATGCTTGGAGATCAATTTGCATAGAAGGAATCAGCATAATGGTATAACACATGTATGAATATTGGTATGTGCTTGGACCTGGATAGCTTTAGATCAGGGGTCACCAACCTTTTGGACCTCAGGGACCACCAAACTCATAATTTTAAATCCTGCGGACCAGAGACCCTGGGAAAATCCCCCCAAAAGTCTGCAGGAAAATTCCCCACCCCGTTTTCCTATTGATCCGATTGATTGTTCTTTATTTGGGATGGCAGGATACCGTCTCCAGCT